AGCAGAGATAAAGAAGTATGTTGGAAGACTTGGCAAGCGTTAAAGAAGTTATCGTAAGCATCACCATCACAAGAAGAAGAGATAGAAGCGTCGAGTTGGCAGAATGCGAGATTTAAGTCAGGAGAATTTGAGTATTTGAGTAAAAGAGAAGATTTCAAGTGATGATATATTTTAGGATAAAGAAGAAGAGAAGGTAATAAGGCTTTAGAAGTACAATATAAATCCATGTTCCCATTAAGTAGATTTTGAAGGAGAATTTCGATGATGTTTTTGACTAAATCCAAATGTTGAGACAATAACAAAGAATGATCGGTTGAAGGAGTGGTGATGATTCTTACAGATTTTAGAAGATGGCTTTTAAAAGTGAATAAAACGATTTGTTCAAAAACTGGGATAGCAGACTCTTCACCAGATTGTAAAGCATTAAACAAAAATAATAATGTTTCATGAAGATGATTACCAAAAAAGTCATCACAAGACACCATACCAATATTACAAAAGAGAGTGAAAATAAGTTTAGTATATTTTGGATAAAAACTAACAAAGTCCCATTTATGTGAAATGCAGATAGAAATAATTGTTTGCATCAATACATGATGAGTTCGATCATTATAGACATACAAAGCACCAAAAGGGATGGTATCACTTGATAAAATAGAATTAATTGATTGGATACAATCTTCTAAATATGACACCATCTCATCTTCATTTAATTCGATAATAGAAGGTAATATCTTCATTAAAGACTCACAAATGTCATGATATAATATTAATGCGTCTGGAGTTTGTATAGAATAAAGTGATCTAAAAGGTTTAATGTTTGCAATATCAGATAAGAATGAAACAAATAAAGGTAAAGATGTGTTTTTAATAAAAATAGGTAATATCTTATGAACAAAATCAATAAATCCAAGATAATGAATACTTTCAGGAGGTAATGATAAGAAGAAAGAATGATATAAAAGTAATTTACTTTCATAATCATTTGGTTGAAGATGAAAAGAAGATTCTAGTTTATTTAATAATACTGAAAAATGTACTTTAGGAATAGTTATAATTAAATTACAAATTGCTTGGAAAAACATTTTTTTAGTTTTAACCGATAATTTTGTTATTTTTTGAGTCTAATAATAAATATTAATAATAAATAAATAATAAATAAATAATATAAAGAATAATAAACAAACTAATGATTCATCTAATATTTTATCAAGTAATCCATATTCTAATAACATTTTTGATGTTTTTTCTTTTCTTGAATATTTTTCAATAATAAGTAATGATTGTTTAATAATAGATTCACAATGAATGTCTATAAAATAATGTAAATTAAAAATGATTTTATTCATAATTGCAATTATTAAATCATTTAAATTTTGAATTTCTAATATTTCTATTATATATTTTTCTGTTGTTCTTGAAATACTTTCATTAAGAAATACATTACGAATACTCTCAAAAAATCTTAATATATTTATTTCTATTTCTTTTACTCCATAACCAAATGGAATATTTTTTATAATACTCATTTCTTTATTAATAATTTCAATTCCAATTTTCATTAATTTAATATCTAATTGTTCTTGTGTTTCATTTGTTCCATTAATTACTTGGTGATTTATAATAATACTTATTAATCCTATCCCAATACTTAATCTTTCACATTCTTTTTGTATTCTTTGTAAACTTCCTTTCATTTCTATTATATGTTCTATTTCTTTTGTAACTCTTTCAATATGTTTTGTCATTTCTTCTACTGTAAACATTAAATTAACTCTTGTTATTTCTCCAAATCCTTCCATTATTCCTTCAATATCTTCTTCTTCAATAATTTCACTATTATTAAATGCTCCTTCAATTACACTTTTACTAACTTCTTTTAGTATTTCAATAACATTTCCTTTTTCTTCTCCACATTCATATAATCTATGTGACCATCTTGCAAATGTTGTTAATAAATAATATAAACTATTTTTATGTTCAACATAATTTTCACTAATTCTTTCTATTAACTTTGCTGCTTGTGTTAAATGATATTGTGCTTTAACACTTCTTGTTCTTGTCATTCTATCTAAATATCTCCCTGCTGCAACTGCCATTTTTTCATTTTCTGCTGCTTCACAAATCATTCCTCCAAACTTACTTAAAAATTCATTATATTGTTGACGTGTTGTTCCACTAAATAAATTCTCTCTAACACTTGCTAATGTTATCATACACTCAACTAATGCTTCAAGATGATTTCCTGGAACAAACATTCTAATCATTTTTTCTTGTAATCCAATGCTTGAAAGTATTGACGCATATCCCATTGGAATTTCTAAAACAATGTCTTCTTCTTC